CAATATTTCGAAATTTAAGGACGCTAATTTACTTAAAATGTATACACCCCGGCTTATCATGTAGCGGTAGCTTTCGGAAAGGTGGAAAACATATATTTAATACTTGCGCCGGGTATTTAATGTTCGGCTCCGCCCGAACTTAGACTTTCTTACTTGTTTTATTTTATTTTTTTCATTTCAATGTGATCGTCCCATCCGGGTTGCTTTGTTATACCCTTCAGTGTTTCATGTTACAGTGTTAGCCGTTATTAAACGTTAATTGGACAGATCTTAACCCACCCTCATAGCCCCAAAAGTTAAAAAAGTTGTTTAACTCTATGTGCTATAGGTTCTTCTCAATTTTCAGCTCAAAAAGTTATTGGGGTCATTAGTTATCGACTAACTAATTTTCGCTAGTTAGCCATTAATTATTTATTAATATGAACAATTTCTTTATCAAAATTTTACATTAGTCGATTTCATGGTCTTTAGCAATGGTATGTGCGAAATTTCAGGCATTTAGCTCAATATTTGTGGTAAATATACGATATTTTTGACGAAGATGTATTTCAGGTGCGCGACTTGGTAATAATTGAAAATCGCGTTGAGCAACCCCTAAACGACCACCGATGTCTCTCAAATTTTCAGCATCATGTTGTTTCTTGATGCTTTCAAAGATGTTGATGCATCGCACACAAATTTCGAAAAATCGTTTTTTTTTAATCAGTCTAGTATACACGTACATACTACATACGTATAAAGATGTGGTGAAAAATCGGTGAAGTTCTTTATATATATTTTCTTTACATGTATGTGTGTTGGTATATACGTGAACTTTTCCCAGTGTTCTTGCATTGAAGTATGTATGTAGCAGGCACTTAAGTATGACAGCATAACACTACTTCATACAGTCATTTATTCATTTAGTCGTAACAACTCGTACGAGTTAATCTGCAACAATTGCGAACATTTCAACTAGCTTCTCTCATTGTGCCTGGCTTTGTTTGCTTAAATGGAACGCATGAACATCTAACTTTTGCAACGATGAAGGAAAGGCTGGTGGACTTCAGAACAACTTTTTTCTTTAAAGTACCCTAGACAAATAATTATAAGTTCAACTTATTTTTTTTTACTTAAATACATTTTTTTAATAGTTATACTAGCTTTTAGTTCATAAGCTTTTCAATACACATCGGAAAGAGTGGAAGAGGCGGTAGGGTCAGTCCGACTTATTCAGTACCCTAGACAAATAATTATAAGTTCAACTTATTTTTTTTTACTTAAATACATTTTTTTAATAGTTATACTAGCTTTTAGTTCATAAGCTTTTCAATACACATCGGAAAGAGTGGAAGAGGCGGTAGGGTCAGTCCGACTTATTCAGTACCCTAGACAAATAATTATAAGTTCAACTTATTTTTTTTTACTTAAATACATTTTTTTAATAGTTATACTAGCTTTTAGTTCATAAGCTTTTCAATACACATCGGAAAGAGTGGAAGAGGCGGTAGGGTCAGTCCGACTTATTCAGTACCCTAGACAAATAATTATAAGTTCAACTTATTTTTTTTTACTTAAATACATTTTTTTAATAGTTATACTAGCTTTTAGTTCATAAGCTTTTCAATACACATCGGAAAGAGTGGAAGAGGCGGTAGGGTCAGTCCGACTTATTCGGTTTGAAGGCTCAATGAAAGGGCAGTGTCTGTTCACCAGTAGGTAATGATGTGCGTCTTGATATACCCCCTCCAGCTGGGCTTGGGACCAACCACATAAAAAAGCGGGCCAGTGAATAGGCCTGAAGAGCCAAGAGCGCCCTCAATGAGGACGGCCCTCGCAAACGGAAAAAGAGCTACTATTTACGGATATGCTCTGGAAAAATACAAGGCTGACATCAATTTCCAGTACAGGAAATGCGATGGAGCACTGTTCCCGTCACGACAGGAGTGGCAAAGTAGGCATATTTGGCCAAACTGGCGGAGAATTCATATTTCATGGCAACACCTCTACGCTTCGAGCGTTCTCTTTCCATCGACTCGGACCCACTACCTTATAGCACCAACGCGGCAAAACTGCAGCCACAACGTAGAACCGAGAAATTTCGATCGACCCTCAATTCGGCTTAATCAAGAAAATCGCCTGGATATAAATTATCAGTACGATTCCACATTACATTCACTAAAGATTCGGATTTAAAAGTTTATTCGAGAGAGGTTCTTGGTTACAACTGGTATGACAAAGATTGCTACGCAGCTGCTGCAGAAAAGTATGCAGCATACCAAGCTACTCTGTGGTCAAAAGTAAGTCCCCTTTCAGACACGTCAAGTCTTGCTTTCAAGTCTGCTCGTTCGTAGGCGAAGGAGGTGAGAAGAGAGGGGAAGAGTACAGATACCTCCGTACCGTCAATTCGTTTCAAGTTTTCTTGTCTCTTTTGATCTTTTCGTTGCTTCCCATTTAAAGAACCAAGGACTTGAATTCAATTAAATTTGACGCGTGTGGAAGCAAATAGAAAACACAAAAGAGAATGCGAAAAAAATTGCTTTCAAGACTTGACGTGTCTGAAAGGGAACTAAGCGAGCGACAACACAGCGGTACCGCAAAAAGGGAGGGAAGCTAGACGAGAAAACAGCATTAATAATAATATTAAATTGGCGCTTACGCAAGGGGCGAACGCAGAAATTTTTTTCGGGGGGAGGGGGGGTTTAATTTCTTTTTTTCAGTTCCACCAAATATGCCTATATTCTACTTTAAAATTTTTTTATTAAATAAATTCGAGTGCTTACATACCAGTGTCCACAAAACAATAGGAGTGCAATATTTTGACCAGTTTTGCCTATTTTTCGCACACGATCTTAAAAAGTGACACAATTCAAAATTACACGTTTTTAGCATATGCTAATCTTTTTGGAAAGGGAGACTTTACCTTTAGTTTTTTCTACAAATTATAACAAAAATTTCAAAAATGACAAATTTTGAGTTGCGTCACTTTTGAAAATCGTGTGCGATATGTTAGTTTTTGGCCGAACAGTTTTACGCCGACTCCGAACGGCGATTGTATTTTTATGAGAAGCTGTTTTTCATGGCAGAAATACACTCGGAGGTTTGCCATTGTCTGCCGAGGGGCGACCGCTGTTTAGAAAAAAATTTTGTTCTATATTTTTTTGCGGTGTTGCTTTGACCAGGGCTTGAACCCAAACCCTGCGGAGTGGAAGCACGCACTGCTTACTTCTACACCACAGCCGCCGCACAGCAGTATTGCGACTTAAATACAACAAAGCCCCGTAGCTGATTTCGTACCGGCTGTTCAAAGATGGTGCCGAAGAGCTGTTTGGGCGCATATGCCAGCTGCTACGCGAAATTTGTAAAATATGAATCTCATGGTACCTTGCTCAATCCACAAAAAAGGACTCAAACTGTTTGTGCCAATTACCGCAAAATACGCCTTAAAATTGGGAAGGATATCTCAGAGGAGTAAAGTTAAGTGAACACGGTGGAGAAAATACGCGGGAAATGCTACGTGAGAGTTATTTAGAGAGACTTTTTCGGCGTGTACATAGTCCATCGCAACAATATCGAAAACCCCACGACAACTCTACGCTCTATTATTATATTTATTCGTATAAAAGTACATATTTAATTTTTAGTTACATTTACCCACTTTAAGGAAAGATTTTTTTTTTGGGCAAATAAGCACAATTAAAATACAATAGTGCGAAACATTGTGACTCTGATATATGTACAGACCAAGGCTGATGGAATACAAGGTTACCAGGTGAAGTAATAAGAGCGAGAAGGAAGATTTGACACTACCTTATTGGAAGTGTTCGCCCCTTAGATTTTTT